GTATTATACTCCTATTATACTATAGGGGGGAGGGGGGGACAATGCTGGGGTTTTTAGGTAATATTCTCCTTTTTTTTTATTTGAAAATTATTAATAATATTTTTGAGGTTTAGCTTCGTATTTATTAAATTTTTATAATATTTTTGACTATTAACTTTGTATTTACTAGGTATATGCTACTTTTAGGCAATTTATATAACATATATATTTTTTTAAAATACTTAGATAATATTTATATTTGTATTTATATATATATATGGGTTATATATTTATAATATTTATTTATAATAATTATTTATAATATTTATTTTTTATTTATTATTTATATGTTTTAATAAAACTATTTATATTTAATATATATTATATATATTATATATATTAATAATATTATACATACTATATTTATAATATATATATAAGGATATATTTTATATTTGTTATAATAATAATATATAATATATAAATTATATATATTGATATATTAAATATACTATATCTAATAAATTTATATATTATATTTACTATCCATATAATATTAATTATTTATGCTATATATATTATATTTACTATATATATATTAAATATATTATATTTTCCAAATATATTATACTAAACCGACCATATATATACTCAATATACCATACCATACCCCTACTATACCACAATGGGGGGAGGGGGATAATGTCACACCCCTACCATACCATATGGGAAGGGAAGATTTTATATGGGACTAATATATAGGACTCGTCCTATGCGGGGCGAGGGGGGAGGTGGTAGGGCCTGGTATAAATATTTACATAAATTAATTTATCTATTTAAATAATTAGACGGGTTAAGGAAAAAATAATTTAAAATCTTTAATTTATAATTATTATATTATATTATTATTTTTTAATAATATAAAAATAAATATATTTAAAATTATAAATTTATTTTATATATTTATTTTCGAATTAAAAAACAAATTAAAATAATAAGAAATTTAAATATATATATATATT